AAGAAGAGGCCACCGGGCTCAGCCTCATCAGCCGTGGCCGCCCCATGCCGCCCTCCCAGCAGGGGCCGCACCTCAGGGCTGCCCATGCAGAGCTCCCAGTGCCCCAGGGCCAGGCGCAGACTCTGAGCAGCCAGCTGTGGGGCTCCTAGCTTGGGGCAGCCTCCACTTGGGGGATGGGGCCCCACTGCAGCCTGCCCCGCTGCGCTCAGCATCACCAGCCTCAGCCGCCCTGCTCCAGGGCCAGGCTCCCTGCCCTCCTAGCACCCTGCCCCACCCTCCCAGCACCCTGGGGCCAGACACAGGCTCCGAGCAGCCAGGCATGGAGCTCCCAGCTCTTGTTGGCCTCCGCGGGGCTCCCCACTGCCCTGCTCCTCCTGCAGGCCAGAATACCGCCCCTGGCAATGTGCCGCCCCAAGCACCTGCTTGTTTTGCTGGTGCCTAGAGCTGGCCCTGTTCAGTACCGCAGGACAGAAAAGCTGATTCCCTTTGGGCCCACCTTGTGCTCTAGGAAGGTGCCTGTGACTCTTCTGTGAGCACCATCTCCTGGATCTCGTGGGGGAAGTGGGGCAGGGGCAGGGATTTGAGGTTCTCAATGCCAAAGCCAGCCAGGGCCCAGACTTGCAGTTCCTCCTTCAGGGACAGGTGGAGGAGATGGAAGGGCCCAACATAGAGCTGCCCTGGCTAAGGATGGTCCAATGTGGTGCAGGCTAGGAGGACAGACTGTAAACTGGATGTCAAGTCTCTCCTTTCCACTTCTTCCCAGCACTAATGTAAATGGGGGAATGGTCCCGCTATTGAGGGGGAACTTTCCTGGCTTTTACACTACCCCAGTGAAATGGGCTAGGAAAAGGATCTGAGTCCCCTCTTCCACTTCCTTTTCCCAGAGGCAAGGATGTTAAACTGCAGTTATCGGGCTAATCATGTAGTGGATACAAATTGTATGGACTACACGATTAATTGGTAAGGGGGCCACTCTGCAGAGTTGTAGTGGGGGTCGCTCCCAGAGCCAGCTGGAGCTGGGACTGAGCAGTCCCATCTCACACCAGCTCTGGGAACTACCCGTGCTGTGGCTCTGCATTTTAAATGTAGTAAGAGCCAGCAGGCTCTTACTACATTTAAAATGCAGAGGCGCAATGTCCCAGACCAGTGTGAGCTGGGACTGCTTGGTCCCAGCTTGAGTTTGTGGTGACCATGGCTAACTGCAGCCACGGGCTGCTGCCCACGCAGCCC